CCAATCTTTAGGGAAGGCCATCATGCTTAAAAGAGTGGAGGGTTAACACAGGAAAGGAAGATGGATGAGATGGATTGACACACTGACTGGCAATGGGGTCAGGTGTGTCAGAGGCAGTGAGATTGGCTCAAGATAGGACAGGATTCAGACGTGTTGTTCAGAGGATCGCTATGAGTCATAGTTGACTCAGATAACAACCAGAAACTACTCATGTTTAAAGTCATGTTCACCATTTCCTTTTATAATTTATATGAATTCATTTCCATTTCCCCCATGTCTGTATTTGATCCAGTTTTCTTTATTCCAAAAAGAAAGTATAGAATTTCATTCATTGCTGTACTTCTCTCCCCGCCCATCCCTCCCCCCTCCCAATTCGCTCCTCTCTTTCAAAAGTAAAAGAAACACTCCTTCCCTAGTACACAATCCCCCCGCACCCCTCCCACCACCCCAAGTACATTCTACTATGCAACCTTAATTGTGGACTCTTGCGATACAGCACTTTTAAATTATTCACTCCCTCATCTGTTTCAGTGCAATATACACAATTTATCCAGTTTTTCTCAGTCTTACCCCAACCCTGACATCAGTCCCATTTTACAACAGTGGCACCATGCAATATTTGTCCTTTTGCATCAGAGATATTTCACTCAGCATAATGTCCTCCAGGCTCACCCATTTTGAATAATATTGCATGAGTTTTGTTTTTCAATGCAGCAGCTTCTCTATCCATTCATTTGATGATGGGCACCTGGGTTGTTTCCAACTCCTTGCTATTGTGAACAGAGCTGCAATAAACATGGGTGTGCATATATCTGTGTGGATGTCAGTTATGGTCTCTTTGGGATATATTCCCAGTAGTGGAATTGCTGGGTCAAACTTTTTTTTTTTATTTGCAACTTTTTGAGAAAGTGCCATACAGCCTTCCACAGTGGTTGCACCATTTTACACTCCCACCAACAGTGAATAAGGGTTTCAGTTTCTCCACAACTTTGCCAGCATTTATTGCTGGCTGTTTTGTTAAATTTTGCTATTCTGACTGATGAGATGATATCTCATAGTTGTTTTGATTTGCATCTCTTAGAGCTAGGGATTTTGAACATTTCTTCATGTGCTTGTTAGCCATCTGAATGTCATCTTTGGTGAAGTGTCTGTTTATATTCTGTGCCCATTTTTCTATTGGATTATTTACCTTGTTGTGGCGCTCAAGTATTTTATAAATTCTAGATATAAGTCCCTTATCTGATATGTTATTACCAAATACTTTTTCCCAGTCTGTGGCTTCCCGTTTTACCCTGTTGGAGAAGTTTTTGGATGTGCGTAAAGATTTGATTCTTAGAAGGTCCCATTCATCTATTTTATCTTCTCCTGGTTGTAGATTTTTCAGGATACTTGGAAGACTATTTATGTTCTGGATTAGGACTACTAGAATTCTTCCAAGCTTTTCTTTAATGAAGTTTATAGTCCTTGGTTTTAGTCCTAGGTCCATGATCCACCTTGAGTTGGTTTTTGTATATGGAGTGAGGTGTGGATCTTGCTTGAGTCTTCTGCAGATATTTTTCCAATTTTGCCAGAACCATTTGTTAAAAATGCTGTCGTTTCACCACTTAACTGATTTCATTTCCTTGTCAAAAATCAGTTGACCATATGTAAATGGGCTGATTTTTGGGTTCTCAATTCTATTCCATTGATCTATGTGTCTGTCATTGTACCAGTACCATGCTGTCTTAACCACCATGTGTGGTAGGATTTGAAATCAGGGAGTGAGATGCCTCCTACCTTTTTGCTATTTTTAAGTAGTGCTTTGCTTATTCGGGGCTTCTTTCCATTCCAAATAAAATGGGATATTACCTTTTCCATCTCCTTGAAGAATGGGATTGGTATTTTTATTGGGATTGCATTGAACATGTAAATTGCCTTTGGTAGTATTGCCATTTTCACACTATTGAGTCTTTCTATCCATGAGCAAGGGATATTCTTCCACTTCTCCAGGTCTCTTTTTGTTTCTTGTAGTAATGTTTTGTAATTTTCTTTTAATAGATCCTTTGTGCTTCTAGTTAGATTTGCTCCCAAATATTTAATCTTGTGATTCGCTATTGTGAAGGGTATTGTTTTTCTTAGTTCAGGCTCTGTATTTTCTTTGTCACTGTAGAGAAATCCAGCTGATTTTTGTATGTTGATCTTGTATCCTGCTACTTTGCTGAATTGGTCAATTATGTCCAATAGTTTTCCTTCTGAGTGTTCAGGGTTTTCCAGATATACTATCATATCATCTGCATAGAGAGATAATTTTAACTCCTCTTTGCCAATTTGGATACCTCTTATTTCCTTCTCTTGTCTTATTGCTCTCGCTAAGACTTCCAATACAGTGTTGAATGAGAGAGGGGAGAGTGGGCATCCTTGCCTCTAGTTCCTGTTCTTAAAGGGAATGCCTTTATCTCTCTCCCTTGAGAACGATGTTGGCTCTGAGAGAATTCTTCCACTGAATATTCAGCTCGCTGATTGATTTTTCAGGAATACCCATTCTAGCTCCTTTGCAATAGCAGCCCATTCTAGCCTTTTGGGAGCAATAATCACGGCCATCACTGCAAAGATACTGACTAGTTGTTTTTGTTGTTATGTGCCATCGAGTCACTTGCAACTCATAGTGGCCTTATGCACAGCAGCCCTAAACCCAGCTCTGTCCTGTGCCAATTGCACCATCTCCGGCACACCCACCCTGATTTCCCCAGTCACTGACTCAATCCTCATACAGGTTCTTCCCCTCCTGCACTGTCCCTCCACCTTCTTAAGCATGGCATCCTTCTCCAAGGACTATTCCCTCCTTGTAACATGTCCAAAGTATGTCAGATGAAGACTCAGAATCCTTGCCTCCAAGGAGCAGCCTGGTTTAACCCTCTCCAGGGTTAACCTGTTTGTTTTCTTAGCAATCCATGGTACATTCAATACTCTTCTCCAACACCAAAGCTCAACGAAAGGCATCAATTCTCCTTCTATCCTCCCTAGTCAATGTCCAGCTCTCTGATGCATAGCAAGTGATTGCAAACTGATGGCCTGTATCCGGCGCACCTTAGTCTCCAGAGTGACACCATTGCTCTTCAGTACTTTGGAGACTTTTCATCACAATTTTTCTTTTCATTTCCTGGCTGATGGTGCCAAGAGTGTTGACTGTGGAGCCAAGCAAACTAAAGCTGTGAGCAATCTCAATCTCTTCGCTATCCATACTGATGCTGCCAATTGGTCCAATGGTAAGAATCTTTGTCTTCTTGATATTGTGCCTCAAACCATATTGAAGACTGCAGTCCTTGACCCTCTGCAGCAAGCGCTTCAGGTCCTCCTCAGTTTCCGTAAGCAGGGTTGTATCATCTGTATAACGCAGATTGTTGATAGATCTTCCACCAATCCCGATGGCATACTTCTCCTCATACAGCCCAGCCTCCCAGATAATCTGTTCTGCATATAAGTTGAAAAGGTGTGGAGATAAGACACATCCCTGGTGTACACCTTTCTCAGTTTTGAACCATGCAGTGTTTCCTTGCTCTGTTCTGACAACTGCCTCTTGGTCCAAGTATAGGTTTCACATTAGCACAATCAAGTGTTGTGGGATTCCCATTCTTCTCAGAGTCAGCCACAGTTTGTTATAGTCTATACAGTGAAATACCTTTACTTAATGAAACACAGATGGACCTTCCTCCCTGCTTTCAGCAAAGATCCATCTAACATTAGCTACAATACCCCTAGTACCATGACCCCTTCTAAACCTGCTTGGACTTCTGGCAGTTCTCTGCTAATGTGCTGTTCCAGTCGTTTTTGGATAATCTTCAGCAAAATAATGCTTACATGTGATATCAATGATATTGTTAGATAATTTCCACTAGAGTACTCTTAAAATGCAATCATCTTTGCCTCATCTTTTTGTTCCAGTGTTTATTCTGTTTATTGAGTCTTATACAGTAATGTTCGTTTTCTTAAATATTGTTGATTGTTGACTTTGAGTTACCATGTTTCTCTTCTGTCTTGGGAGATGTTGAAGATGCTGCTTAGTTGCATGTGCTAGTGCTTGAGCGTGGTAGATCCCAATTCTCTTGATTCATCCCACTGTCTAAACTGATTAACCATGTTTATGATATACATTTTTCTGTTTGGCCTTATTTCATAATCATTGTACAAACTCATTGAAAGAGTGTTTTATTGTGTGTAAACTATACACAAGTTGTTGCTATTTGGTACCATGGTGTAGGAACCAACACATTGCTAATCTTCCAGCAGGTTTTTAGAGGCCCTTAATCACACAGGAAGAGAATGCCTGTCTTTCTCCCACGGGACAGCCAGTGCCTTCTAATCTCTAACCAATGCCTTCGGGATTACAGCACAGCTTGTTACTACTAGTTCTCTAGAACTCCCTACATCAGTAATGTTGATTTTTTTTTTTATGGTGATTTTAGTGGAAGTTTACAAAGCGTTGTTTTTTTCAATCATTCTTGCACATTTTGTTCCATAACATGAGTGACAATATTCACACTGTCCATCTATTCATACTATCTTTCCTTTCACCTATCTTAATAGGTATTATATATTTTTGTAACAGTAGTCTTAGACGATATGAGTGACAATATTCACACTGTCCATCTATTCATTCTATCTTTCCTTTCACCTATCTTAATAGTTATTATATATTTTTATATTAGTAGTCTTAGATGATATTTGTCCTATTGTGACAGAAACTCTTTGTACAAATAAAAAAGTAGAACATATATCCTTTTGCTTTCAGCTATGATAGACGTTTTCTATTCTCATGTAAATTTCATTATCACTTGTACAAACTTATTGAAATGTTAATTAAAATGGATATGTTCTATTGTATGTAAATATCAGTAATGTTGAAATTTTTAAGAGTTAAAAAATTCATTATCAGATTGGTTTCTGCACATCTGCTATGATATTAAGAGATATAAACAAAATAATGAGACCGTAATCCTTGCCTCTGGGCATTTTTTTCCCAGGGTGTGTTTTCTAATGAAGTGTTTACCATATTGTCCAGTATTCCTGAGGCTGAAAAATTTGCTAAGTTCTGGATCTGTAAAGCAAAGTTGCTGGCCCAGAAAGGCACCTTTGATATTATCGGGTTATATGAAGAGGCCATTAAAAATGGGGCAGGGGTGAGTATCTGTCTTGGGTGGGCAACTTCTTGAAAATTGTTTTGTGTTGGTTCTCTATAATTTGCAGTATTGTGATTATATAATGTGTTCTTGCCAGTTTAACCCATTATTTATAGCAGTATCCCAAATGTAATATTCTTTTTTTTCCCCGTAGCTGGGTGTGTTGGGGGTGTGTGGTGTTTGTGTGTTTAAATAGTGTTCTATGGTACAGAAGTACAGTTTCCTTCATTATGTCATGATTCATAGCATGGGTCACATTTTAAAGAGGAAACTCAAATAATTTTTCCAGAAATTGCTTTTCTATAAAGGTTTTGTTTGTTTTAATATAGGTTGCTATCTTACTTAAAAAAAAAAAAAAAGAAGGAAAGATTGAAGGAGGAATTGCTCGAAATACTAACAAAAGTTTTGTTTGTATGCTGAAATTTTGCATGGTTCCCTTTTCTAAGTTCACATACTTCTCATTTTTCTTACATGTTATATGACTTCCATAATAAAAACAAAAATCACACTGAAACTTAACTAAAAATATATTTTCTGTTTGGCTAACTTTACATCTTTGAATCAAAATCTTTCCACAGTAATGCATCTTAAATATGATCAATGCAAATAACTAAGAAAATAAAATTTGGTTTAGAGAAATTTTGTATCAAAAACATTCCATAAACACATCTTTTCATGAAATAACCCACATCTTATTTTCCCATGAAGTTATAAATTTGAAATATTTTAAATGTTATTTATAGCTAAATAGGAGATAAAAAAGGAAACTTTTTTTATAAGAAGAAAGTACTTTGTTGTTAAAGCTCCTTAGCTCATTTTTTTCTATAATATTGTTTATGTATTTTCTTCCAGCCTATCCTAGAGTTGCGGGAAGTTGTTATTAATATTTTACAAGACCAAAATAGGAAATCAGAAGGTACTGCTATTTTTGTATTGAAATTTGTCCCTTCTAGCTCTGTAAGACTCATTCAAGGAAAATGGAAAGATTAGAAATCCCTACATATTTGGGGGTGGAGACGGGGTGGGGCTGCTCTTTACAACCACTGTCCTCTGTTTATTAGAGCACCCTGTGCTTGAGTGAGGGTGGTTTGCACTGGCGTAGCCTAGACTAGAGTGACTTATTTCTCTGAAATCCTATTTGGGAAAAGACAGGTAGCTCTTTCTCAGGAGAAAGTAAGGTAAAATGGAAACTCTTTAAGTTATATGAAACTTAGTCAAAGCAAACTCAGTAACATATTTATATTCATATTATCTCATTAAGAATAGGCAGTGGGAGACTGTTGATTAGTTAGCTATTCCTGTCATTGATAGGAGTTCCTGTCATTGCTTATGGATTGGAAGAGGCCCATATTTGTTCCCATTCCCAAGAAAGTTGATCCAACTGAATGTGAAAATTATCGAACAATATTATTGATATCACATGCAAACAAAATACTGCTGAAGCTCATTCAAAACCAGCTGGAACAGAACATAGATAAGGAACTGCCAGAAGTTCAAGCAGAACTTAGAAGAGGCCGTAGCACCAAGGGTATCACTGCTGATGTCAGATGGATCCTGGCTGAAAATAAGGAATACCAGAAGAATGTTTATTTGAGCTTTATTGACTATGCTAAGGCATTTGACAGTGTGGATTATGACAAGTTGTGGCTGACATTGAGAAGAATGGGAATCCCAGAACACTTGATGGTGCTTATGCAGAACCTATACCTGGATCAGGAGGCTGTTGTGCGAACAGAGCAGGGGAGCACTGCATGGTTTGGAATTGGGAAGAGAGTGTGTCAGGGTTGTATTCTCTCTCCATACCTGTTCAGTCTGTATACTGAGAAAATTATCTGAAAAGCTGGGCTTTGAGGAGAAGTGTAGCATCAGGATTGGAGGGAGACTCACCAATAAACTGCATTATGCAGATGACACAGCCTTGCTTACTAAATGTGAGGACTTGAAGCACTTGTTGCAGAAGATCAAGGAATGCAGCCTTCAGTATGGATTTCATCTCAATGTCAGGAATACAAAGGTTCTCATTCCTAGACCAATAGGCAGCATCATGATGGCTGGAGAGGAGATTGAAACTGTCAAAGCTTCATCTTGCTTGGATCCACAATTAACACCTGTGGTACCAGCAGTAAGAAAATAAGGAGACGCACTGCACTGGGAAAATCTGCAGTTAGGGACCTTTCCAAACTATTGAGGAGTGGTGATGTAAGTTTGAGGACTAAGGTATACCTGATTCAGACCATAGTATTTCCAATTACTAGCTATGCATCCAAGACACCTTAAAACGAATAAGGATGACAGAAAAAGAATTGACGCCTTTGATGTTAGATAAGAGCACTGAACATCCCGTGGACAGCCAAGAGAATGAACAGATATGTCTTGGAGAGGGTACAGCCAGAGTGTTCTTTGGAGGCAAGAATGATGAGGCTTCACCTTACATAATTTGGACATACTGGTTAGGAGGTGCTATTCCTTGGAGAAGGACATGATGTTGGGAGAGTGGAGGGCCAGCGAAGGAAAGGAAGACCCTCAACCGGCTGGATTGATACAGTGACTGCCACAATGGGCTCTTGTGCGTCAGAAAGTGTGAGGATGGCACAGGATGGGACAATGTTCAGATCTTTTGTTCAGAGGGTCACTATGAGTTGTACTTGACTCGACGGCACCTAACAACAACTACATCATTCAGAGTACTTGCCTCTGGGAAATACTGTTCCAACACCATGAACAACACATTATAATTGCTTGTAATATTGCATGTGAGTTTAAAAGCAAAACAAAACACAACTCAAGCTACTCTTGGAAAATGAAATCTATTCCTTTTATCATCCAAGAATGACAGATCCTTTTCCTTTAAGATTTGCTTGAACTTCCTGAAAAGAGTAGGTGAGTGAGAGGAACGGCAACAGTAAAGGTGGGACAAGGGATAATATATGGTGTGCACTGCAATCAGGGGCACAAAACAAAGTGCCTGTGATCTATAGGGTGGGAAACATACTCGCTCTGTGAACTCATCCACACCCACACCACAGGGTTTTTTAAAAATAAGTAAAAAAATTAAGAGGAGCAACTAATCCTTTGGAATTACAGCTCATCAAAGGGATAAAAAAAGAGGCTCATGCTTTCATTTCTTGTTGGTTCTAGTGACCTCTCTGGGTCTCAGCCTCTGGCTGCAGTGTCTGCCTACTTCTGGTGTCCTTCCTTTCATGCTGATCCTTACTGTCGAGCTGTCACACTAACTGTGTGAAGACCACACTTTTTTCATCCACTGTCCAAGATGATGGCCATGTGGTTGTCCCTGGTGTGGAGAAGGGTCGAGAGGTTGAGTGTGTCAACTTCAGGGATCCCAAATGGTGTGATGAATACAAGACCAGTGACATAAAGAAGCTCTGTCAAATGTGAACAGACATTGAGGATGTGTCTGAACATTACAAAGGTGTCAAGGAATGTTCTCAGGTGGCAAAGAGGTCTCAAAACTCTCTTGAGTACTGGTTACAAGAGCTAGCTTTCCATAGCAGGGCACTGCTACCAAGCTTGGAAGGAAAATGAGCTGTGAGTCCCAGGTAAAATCACTCACTCTCCTTCCTTGATAAAATTTGTTAGCATCACTAGAAATCATTCTATGTGTTACTCTTTCACTTTATTTACTTTCAGTTTAAATATTCAACTCTCATGCCTCACTTTTCCTTCTTAACATTGCATGCAGGAATTACCTCTGACCCTTTCATTGCTGAAGAGCTGATCAAAAAGATGGAATCAGAAGAATCTTCTCTTTCACCGGAAGAGGGGGTACAAGTTACAGCAATACCCCAAGTAACCAAGGAAGGCCAGGATACCCATCCGGGCATCAAATTACAAATTAACCCCATTCCTAGGTAAGCAGACCCAAAAAGGGTGCTTTGTGTTTGTGGGTCTAATCCAAGGCCAGTTCTCAGTTTCCCCTCCACAGACCCAGAGTAACAACAGTTACTGTACTTTGTCATCTAATCTGTCTTTGGAGTGAGGGAAAGGAACTTACAGTGAAGAGAGTTTCCCTTTCCTGCACACACATGCCCCCACCCCTGTTTGCAGTCAGGAAGGTATTCCTAGTGAGGAGTGCTGACAGTGGATTTACCCTCCCTCTGAGACTCAGTCTCTCTTCGCCCTCTGCTGTCCTGTACTTGCAGTTCCTCTCTACTTTTTCCTGCCAAAACTGACACACAAGAGGGCAGGTTAAAGGGGCAGCCCCTGCAACTATGAGAGAGAAGGGGTTCAGAGTAGCCCTCTATAAATAGGGAGAGCAAGCAGGTACACCGTCAAAGACTGCTCATAATACCAGAATCACTTGGCATTTTTATAAATTTAAGGCACTTAACTGTTATTATTGCTATTGGATGTCACTAGATTGACTGCAACTCATAGTGACCCTTTAAGCAGCCCCCTCCTCATGATGTCTGCTGTGCTCCAGTCCAATTAGTCACTTTGCCAATCCAGCTTGTTGAGGGTCTTCCTCTTTCCCTGATCCTCCACCTTCCCCAGCTTGATTTTCCCAGGGCTGGCCCCTCCTGACAACATGCCCAAAGCATGTGAGATGAAGTCTCACCATACTTGCTTGTAAGGAACACTTCCTCCAAGAGAAATTGTTTGTTCTTTTGACAGTCCACGTACCCTTTTCCAACATCATAATTGTTCTGTTATCCAACATTTAGATGCAAAAGAAGTAATTTAAAAAACTTTAGTCATTGAACTGACATCTTTGCTCTTTTGCACTTTGGAGATCTTAACAGCAGATTTTCCCAAGGCAACACATGTTTTAATTTCTTGACTGCTGTTACCATGGGTGTTGATTGTGGATTCAAGTAAAATGAGATTCTTGATAATGTCAGTCTTTTCTCCATCTATCATTTCGTTGCATATTAGGCTAGCGGTGAGGACTTCTGTCTTCTTGATATTGGAAAAGTGAAGACCATAGTCTTTGAACTTCTGCAGGAGTTTCAAGTCCTCTTTCAGCAAAGCATGGTTGTGCTTCTTAGTCTAAGTAGAGATTTCACATGAGCACAACTAAGTGCTCTGAGATTCCCATTCTTCACAATATTATCTGTAATTTATGATCCACACAAATGCCTTTGCATAGTCAATAAAATAAGCACGTTTCTGGATCCATCTAATAATCAGAATTCCAAGTCCTCCTCTTCTGAATCCAAGTTCTTTATCTGAATTCTGGCAGTTCTCTGTTAATGTACAGTTCTACCCATTTTAAAAAAAATAATCTTCAGAAGATTTTATTTGAATGTGATATTCAGTAATTTCTACATTCTGTTGGATCACCTTTCTTGCGCATGGGAACAAATAAGGATCTCTTCCAGTCAGTTGGTCAGGTAGTTTTCCTCCAAATTTCTTGGCACAGACTAGTGAGTACATCCATGGCTGCATCTGTTTGATGAAACATGTCAATTGGTATCCCATCAATTCCTTAGACCTTATTTTTTGCCAGTGCCTTCAATGCAACTTGAACTTTTTCCTTCATTACCCATTGGTTCTTGATCAAATGTTTCCTAAAATAATTCACTATCAACCAGTTCTTTTTGATACAGTGTCTCTGTGTACTCCTTCTATCTCCTTTTGATGCTTCCTGTATTCTTCAGTATTGTGCCCCTAGAATCCTTCAGTATTGGCAGCTTCAAGCTTGTTCTTTCAGCTTGAAAAAGGCCTAGAATGTCATTCCCTTTTGCTTTTCTAAAAGCGCTCTTTGCACATTTTGTTATAATACTTTGTTTGTTTTGTCTTCTAGAGCTACCCTTTGAAATCTTCTGTTTCATCTCTATTTCAGCATTTCTTCCCTTTGTTTTGACCTCTCAGCTTTCTAGTGCAGTTTTCAGAATCTCATCTGATGTCCATTTTGATCTTCATTTTCCTCTTCAGTCTTTGTAATGACCTTTGTAAGGACCATGTCCTCCCACTCTCATCTGGCCTTCAATCATTAGTGCTCAGTGCATCAACTCTATTCTTGAGATGGTTTTTAAAGTCAAGTGGGATAGACTCAAGGTCATATTTGGTACTTGTGGACTTAATTTTCTTCAGCTTCAATTTGAACTTGCACATTAGTATTTGATGATCTGTCCCAAAGTCAGCCCTCACCTTGTTTTGTTTGTTGTTTGGGTTTTTTGCTTTGTGGGTGTTTTTTTTTTATTTTATTTATTATTAATTTCAATGAAAATTTACACAGACTTTGGATCTCATCTCCATTCTTTCATTGTTGCACTTTTCTCTCCTCCCAACCCTTCCCCCGAGTACACTACCCTCTTAGAAAAGTAAAAGAAAAATTCTTTCATTATTTTACAATCCCTCCCCCCACATCCACTACACTATGCAGCCTTTGCACTAGACTCCTGTCATGACAAAAACACCTAAACCCTTATCCCTTTTAAATAGTTTTCTCCCTCATCTGTTTCAGTGCAGTATACATTATTTATCCCATCTTTCTGAGTCTCCGCCCAGCCCCAGTGTCAGTCCTGTTTTACAACAGTGGCACCATGCAGTATTTGTCCTTTTGTGACTGAGATACTTCACTCAGCATAATGTCCTCCAGGGTCACTGTTGTTTGGTTTTGGTTTTGGGGGTTTTTGTTTTGTTTTTTGTTTGTTTGTTTTTGGTTGGTTTGTTTGTTTTTTTCTCTTTGGCTAGGACTTTGAAAGTCCATCTCACATACTTTGTTCACATGGCCAGGAGTGACTGGTCCTTGGAAAAGGACATCGTGCTTGGAAGGGAGGAGATAATAGCGCAGGAGAAGACAGCCCTGGATGAGATAGATTGACACAATCTGGGATAGTGAGGGTAGGACAGTAATACTGGCTCAGGACAGGGCAGGCTTCAGAGCTGTTCTACATAGGGTCACTATGCATGGTAGGTAACTCGACAGCACATAACAACAGACATAAATTTCTTTTCTCACAATGTGAATTCAGAGTGTCCGCTCTAGGAAAGGGCTCTCTCCTTGTGTCAATTCTAGGAGAAAGTCCTTTTCCCCTTTCACCATCTATTGGCTCAGTGTTCTTGAGGATCTCCATGTGTCTGGGCATCAGTCTTCCCATGAGTCTAGCGGTTTTCCAGAGAAAGAACCCTGGATGCAAAGGATATGTTCTGCTTCTGTCTCCTCTTTGCTGGTGGTGGTAGGTTCTTTCTCTCTGTTTACTTCTCTTTCCTTTTATCTCATTAAGGAAAAATAAGTAATATAGGCCACACCCCAGAGAAAATACTATATGAAATCAGAGTTGTGGCCTGATTTAGGGTGTTGCATTGTGGCCTTGTTTGGACTGCTGATAATTGAGCTTCTCCATAGACTGACGTTGTCAGTCTGATTCCTGTGATTCAGGTGAGGTCCATGTGTATAGTCGCCTTTTATGGATTTTTTTTTAAAAAAGGTTTGTAATGAATAAATCAGTAATTGTACAAAATTCTATCATTCAACCTCCAACCACATTTCTGTCACCATGTCTCTAATTTACAACTCCTTGGCTTCCAACTTTTGCCTTCTAGTCACCAATTATTATTATTGTATGTTCAATCAATTTTAGACTTTTATAGTTGGTGGTGGTGGTTGTTGGGTGCTGCTGTGTCAAGTACAACTCATAGTGACCCTATGACCAACAGATTAAATCGTGTCCTATGTCATCCTCACCATCTCTGATACACTTGAGCCTACTGCAGCAGTCACGATGTCAGTCCATCTTGTTGGCCGTTTCCCCCTCCTCTTTTGCTTGATACTCCATCTTTCCAAGTAGGATATCCCTTCCGCAGGAACAGCTTCTAGCAACATCTTGGTAGAAGTCCTCAATTTCTTCATCTTTGGCTTTACTGGTTTATTTTTATATTTAAATAATAGTTGTATGAACAGAACTTCCTTATATGCATATGGATCGTATCCTGTTACAGTGTTGAACTTCAGGATAGATCTTTAAATGTTCTTTTTGACTGTAACATCATTCTTCCTCAATTTGTTATGCTAGGAATAATAAAAAATGTGATTGTCTGATTCAGAGTGGCCAGTACCAGCCATCTCAGCTCACTAATGCCTAGGATGTTGATCTTTATGCGTTCCATTTCATTTTTCAAAAATGACCATCTATTTCAGAAATAAGAGACCTTCAAAAAACATACATATAACAGAGGAACATTGTTAGATATAGTACTGGAAATAAATCCTCTTACATTGGAAGGCATTAAAAAATGAGTAGAAACAAACATCCATTAATAACTAGAACATGGTATTTGTCCTTGTGGGACTGAGTTAGTTCACTCAGCATAATGCTCTCCAGTCCCTCCCAAGTTAGGTAGTAATTTACAAAGTGATTGCTCCTGTGTGCTGCGTAATATTCTCTTGTATGAAAGTACCACAATTTCTCAATCCATTTGTTTGTGGTTGGACATCTGGGCTGTTTCCATATTCTTGTGATGGTGAATGATATAGCTATGAACATTGGTGTACAAGTTTCCATTTGAGCCTCAGTTCTCATTTTCTGGAGGTATATTCCAAGCAGTGGAATAGCTGGGTCACATGGAATTTCTATGTTTAGCTTTTTGAGGAAGCACCAAACTACCTTCCAGAGTGGTTGTACCATTGTACAATCCCACCAACAATGTAAGAGTTTCTATCTCACCACATCCTCTCCAACATTTATTACTTGCTGTCCTAATAACCTTTGCCACTACTACTGGAGTGAGATGGTATCTCATTGTGGTTTTTATTTTCATCTCTCTTATTGCCAGTGATTTGGAACATTTCTTAATATGTCTGTCGGTCATTTGGACATCTTCCTCTGTGAAAATTCTTTCTATGTCTTTTGCCCATTTTGTAATTGGGTTATCAAACTCTTTCTTGTAGAGGCCCAGGAGTATTCTACAAACTTTCTTTATGAGACTCTTGTCTGAGATGGTATTGCCAAATGTTTGTTCCATCAGTAGGTTTTCTTTTAGCCTTGTTGGGAAAATTTTCTGATGAACACATGGATTTAATTTTTAGAAGATTAGAATATTGTATGCAACCATTATTATAGAATGAGTCTGAAGGATCCAAGGCAGGGGAGAGGGTAGAAAATAGAGGGGTGAGGATGGGGGGAGGGTGTTAATTCTAGGGTTGCACAATTCAATGAGTGGGTAGAGTAAAGGAAATGGGAAGGATCTTTTGTGGAAAAACAATGTATTCAAACTTTGTAAATAAATCAGAGTAATATTAAAAAAAATTAGAACACAGAATATACAAAGTATGTACCTAAGAAAATTGGAAATTGTCAAAGGAAAACACCAAACTAATTAGAAGCTGTGTCAGGATAGCCAAGTCATTCTCTAAAATGTTAATTGTCACTCTCTGTTCATGATCTTGAAAAGAGAATTCCAAACAAGAGTCCCAGGACTATGAATTTGCATGCCCTGGAAAGCACAGCTAGGCCTACTCCAGACCTAGCATCCTGTCCCAGACACATCATTCCTCCACCACAGTCAGCACCATTTCACATGCATGGATGCAAACTTGTGACCCAAAAATCTCCTCTTACTGGCTCTAAAATTTGTTATGAGCGATTTTTAGCAGACATCCTTGCTTGCTGTGCTCTGGCTAATAGAATCAGTGGTTTTGTGATGCACAAGCCTGACTCACTCTATGGAGAGGTTTCTGCACTTCTCCTGCTTCCTGTTATAAAGAGTGAAAGACAATGTCACATTTGTTCCTCTTTGAATCTGTGACTTGGTCCAATATCGTAAATGTATTTTTTGGATAGTTTAACTGTCAAAACTAGAACAAAGTTTAGAATTCATTAATCCAGTTACATTTGGTGATAGGTCCAGTTAATTCATAACCCTTCAACTCTTTTTAAAGTCTATGGAACAAATAAAGAGTAACTACCAAAGAGCTAGTATCAAATAAAAACCATGCTTCCTACAGTGACTCCACATGCTTCCACCTTTAAAGTGCTGCAGACATTCCCAATTCCAGAACTGCAGAAGAGCCACCTCCAGATTAGAACTGGCCTAGACACACCTCCACTGTCATATCTGTCAAGTTATAGGAAATGTTGGTCTTGTTTCATTTTAGAATAAGGAAAAGTAATAAATAGAATTTCCAAGGCTTTAAAAGTGCAACAATGAATGAATGGAAATCCAAAATCTCTGTAAATCTTCATTAAAATTAATAAAATATTTTTTTAAAGTTAAAAAAAAAAAAAAAGGTTCTCATTGATTTCCTTGCTGTTTCTCACTCTCAGGCTAATTGGAATGCCAGAAGTGCAGGACACGAAGCTCATCACCCCTGTCCGGCGTTCGGGGAGGATCGAACATGCTGCGTCCCGCTATCCAAAAATGCTACAGGAGCATGACTTAGTAGTGGCTTCCCTCGATGAACTGTTGGAAGTAGAAGAGACAGAATGCTTCATCTTCCGCAGAAATGAGGCTTTGCCTGTAACGCTAGGCTTCAAGGTTCTGGAATCCTAATTTCTTGAAACTTTTAAAAGGAGTGTCTGGCGTTTCCAAGACTTCCATGAGAAAATTGCCCATGCTTGAGTTACCTGGAAAAACATGGGTAACAGGCATCCTGGATGCATGGCAGGTTACAGACTCTCAGGGCTTTGAAAGTGATTCACTGGCCTTAACTGCAGTTTACTATAGCTTATATAAATTTCAAACTATTGACTAGTAGCTAATTTACTCCACAGTTGTGGTGAAATTTGCATTTAATTCACCTACTTTAATCCCAGTATAATTCATCTTTATATCAGAAAGATGGTGCCACATACATTTCACTTCTGTATTTACCTTAGCAAAGAAAGCAAGTTTTTACAACATGGAAAATGTGACCTTTAGCTTGCAATTATATGTCAAGCTGTATGGGACATACCAGGCCATCTAGTTAAATGCTCTGATTTTGCAGATAGCTTAATTCTAGAGCAGTTACTTTTCCATGTGTGTCATTTGACTTGCCATCACAATAACCCTGTGGGTGAGCTACAGTTCTTGTCATTTCTGTGCTAGGTTTCTTCTAATGAGAGAAAATCCCAAATCCATCCAAACATAACTGTGGTGAGCATGAGCAGGGTGACCATCACAAGCTAGCTTTCATATATTTATTCTTCAGACTCAGTTATGCTTCAGGCAACAACAAAAGGGGCAGAGACGAGAGGTGAGGAAGAGATGCTCACTGCTTCCTCTCAGTCCCTTGCTGTGTCCGAGGAGACATAACCTGAGATGGAAGTATAGGTCCAGTTCCCTCTCCAGGAATTGTTTTTCCTTCCTCCTGGCCAACTATCCTTAGAAAGGTAGAGTCAGGATCGTTGTATAAATATAATGGACAGAAAAAACATAACCAGCACTTTTATTTTCTTTCTTAGATATTTAATACTGTCTTTTAAAAATAAAGAAATAAATACCTCTTTGTCCATCTTTAAAAGTCTCTGCTTATGCATTTGTCTGATTTATTGTAGAAACAATGATGATAGCTTAATGTAGAGTATCAGGAGTTTGGGGAAACACTGAAGTTCTTTTGCATGAGGCCTGATGGGGAGCACTAATGCACGCCCTTGATGAAGCTATACTGACCGAGCATCTGATCAGCTGCCTCAGTAGCCACTGATTTTTTAAATGTGAGGGGAACCTCTCTTTCACAAACAGGTTCCTAAAACTAAAGTATAAAGTGACAATACAAATAAACTTTCAGTAAAAGAATGGTCATCCACTGCAACCAGAGTGCAACAATGCACAAAACCAGACCCTCGCTTTAGACAGACTTACCTGTAAAGATCACAAAATCAGATCATGGGAATGTGTAGGGATCCAATATTCCACATCACACCAGGTCCAGATGGCTGGTCCTGCACTGCCTTCCTTCCTCTTGAACAATTCACTTTGACTTGGCTTCTAGAATCATTCACCCCTTCCCCTAACCTCCCACCCCAGCACCGGCCTGGGAACCAGTGGTCTCTGGTTTTTTTGTAACTCTCTCACCAGTTCTTTGCAGCATATCTTCATGTGGTCTGGGTTTAACTATTGTAATAATAATAACATAATTATACATATTAATTATAATAATACATATTTTTCACAATGAAGAATTGCAGTTTGGACAACCATGCCAGGTGAAATACAGTCTTCAGGATACAAAACGGATATGGAAAGGCCACAGATGCTACAAGAGCTGTGGGAAATTGCTCTGTGGTCCCGAGGCTCTTCATAGCTACTCCCTAACTCTTGTTTAGTAAGTAGCTGCTCCTGAAAATGTTAAGAAAGGTTTATAAGCAATTGTAATAGAGTTAGAAGCCTTTGCAGAAATCAATAACAATTTTTAAAAACCCAACTTGCTATCTAGTCAATCCCAGCTCACAGTGACCACAGGTTACAGAGTAGAATTGCTGCATAGGGTTTTTTGTTTGTTTTTTCATTAAAATTAATGAAATTTAATAATAAAAAATAATAAATGAAAACAAAACACAACAAAAAAATAAATAAAAGCATAATAATGTATCTGTTTGGGTGGCAGTTATAATTTCTTTATGGTGTATTCCCGTAGTGGGATGGCTGGCCAAACTTGATAGTGTGTCAGTACAACTCAGAATAAAAGCAAAACCCCAAACCTGCTAAAATGCAGATTTCTGAACTCTGCCTTGAGGTTTCAGTGCTTAAGCCCTCAACTGATCACAAATGGTTGATAGTTCAAACCTCCTAGCATCTCCGTGAGAGAAAGATGTGGCAGTCTGCTTCTATAAAGACTGCAGCCTTGAGAATTCTATGGGGTAATTCTCTATCCTACTGTATTGCTGGGTCAGATTGAACTTGAAAGCAACAGGTCACCTCAAACACAAAATCCAAATCTCCAGGAGTTGAGTTAAGGAGTCATTCCCTGGATAATGCAAATGGTTAAAACACTTGATTGTTTACCTAAATGTTGGAAGTTTTAATTCATTCAGAGGCACCTTGGAAGAAAGACCTGGTGATCTACTCCCAAAGAAATCAGCCAGTGAAGTCCTGCTGGAGCACGGTTCTGCCCTGACACACAGGGGTCGCTATGAGATAGAATCCACCCCACAGGGAATGGGTGGTTAGGGGAGGTGCATAGCAGTTTTTTAAGCTGTAATCTTTACAAAAAGGATGTCTGCTTGCATGGAGTATTTTGTGTTGAGCTGTAATCCGATGGTTTGGATCCCAGCTTCTTCTTGGGAAAAAGATGGGCAGGCTACTCCCATAAAGATTTACGGACTCAGACACAAGAGAAAGTCAGTAGAAACCAGAATCTAATCACTAACAGTAAGTTTCTTTGTTCAATCTTTACAAAAATGGATCTCCAACTCTGCCTTCCATGGCTCTGCTGAAGGGGTGGGAGGTTGAACCATCAACGTTTAAGTCAGTACTTGAGCATAAATCATGTGTGCCACCAGATGATATCACGAATAGACTATAAAGTGAACTGTCAGAACAGATTAAAATCAGTGACATCAGAACAATGAAGAGCCATGGCTTTAATATTACAGAGAAGCTGCTTTAAAAAAAAAAAGCCAAGTAAAAGACAAATAATTAGGGTGTTAAATCTTGAGTCTGACTTTACATGTTTTAATGTTGTTGGGGTTTTTTACCAAGTACAAAGGCTTCTCAGCTAGTTCATGTCTTTGATAGTAACCTGGAATAAAAGGACCATTAGTGAAATCATTTTTAACCAGAAAGATATTGTTATTAATAACAACAGAATTTTTAAAACCAGGAACAAGGAAGTACTACTTTTAAAAACAAATGTCTAGAAATGAAACTGGATGTGAAACTTGGCTCATGAGAACCGAGTAAAAGAATTCCACTTGATAAAGCACGTTTCCAAATAAAGGCCTTCTAAAGTGAGAGCAGTATCTCTTCCTCCTCCCTGAAAAAAAATGTCATCTTGGATTCTGAGTCTGCTACACTTAGGTCACCTTAGTATAGTTTGATTTTTCCTCACTCTCCAACTTTTCTTGATCTTTGAGATACATCTCAGCTAGAAGATGAGCTGTGGTGCTTGCCAGTGTTAGTTTATCAGCCTCGGCATCGTCCTTCTGGTCCTCCTCGCTCGCTCTGCCTCAGCCTTCAGTGGATAAAGCAAGCTGGTTGTGGAAAGGCTCTCCCTAGGCTCGCACAGTGATGTCCAACCTGGGAAAGGATAGAGAATGCACCTGGAAGCCCAGGCCCAGGCTGCATGAGGACGAATGGAAGGGGAGGGATTCAACTCACACACTCCCGGGAACCACGTGAGTGTGCCTGGCTTCCCAATGGGCTATGGTAGGAAAAGAGTCTCAACACACCAAATCCTGATGTGCTTACATGGTGAGCTTCTTCCTAGCAAGAGGAAAGCAGCCTGTGACTTCGTTTCTTTACTGCAGGGCATGCAGAAAGGACTTGATAAACACTGGCTGAAAGACCAAAGCTAACTGGGCACGTTCCAAGGCAGACTCAGCAGAGATAAGGAATAAACGGAAGTCCTCAGGTAGGCTTCGGAGATGCTGGACCCAGTGCAAGTGGAGGACGCTGGGGGCTCACTCACAGGGGTGCAGGTAGCCTCAGCCTCTGCTCAGGAAAGCATGTGTCCTGAAGCTTGCTGGGCGAACACAGACTGTAATGTGAATCAGGCAGCAGTCTGCGCGGGCACCACTCGGCCAGCCAACCTCTGCTGTGAGACTCTATGGAATGGCCTTTCATTCTCAGGAGTTCTTGGCCTTTTAAGGCCCAGTGCCCCGTTTTCAAGGAAAATATTTTCAGTGTCCCTTTTTTTATCCTGAACTGAAGCATCCAAATAGTGTCACAATAATTTTAAAGTCAACATAATGTCCTAAGTAGAACCAAAAAAGAAATAAACCAGTCACCCTCAAGTGGATTCAGAGACCCCATGTGTCACAGAATACAATTGTCATCTAGCATTTCCAATGTTATGAGCTCTCAAAAGCAGTTTAAAAACAATATATGATTGGGTATTATGGTTATGACAAGAGTCCAGAATGAAGGTTGCATAGTAGAGTGTACTGGGGGGAGGGGGGAGCAAGAGGGATTATATACCAATGAAAGAATTTTTATTTTTTTTCCAAGTCATTTTTTATTTAAATTTAATATTAATTTCAGTAAAAATTTACAGAGACTTTGGATTTCCGTTCATTAATTGTTGCACTTTTCTCCCCTCCCAACCCTCCTCCCTAGTACACTACCCTCTTGGAAAAGTAAAAGACAAATTCTTTCATTGTTTTACAAACCCTCCCCCAGGTCCACTCCACCATGTAGCCTTTGCTCTAGACTCCTGTCATGACAAAAATAACTAATCACATATCCATTTTAAACAGTTTTCTCCCTCATCTGTCTTAATGCAGTATACACTGTTGAACCCATCTTTCTCAGTCTCCCCCCAACCCTGATGGCAGTCCTGTTTTACAAGTGGCACCATGCAGTATTTGTCCTTTTGTGACTGAGATACTTAACATAATGTCCTCCAGAGT